CACTGCTCCTTTTGCTGCTCCTTCTGGTCCTGTTGCTGCTGCCGCTGCTCCTCCTGCCTCTTCTGTCCCTGTTTGGTGCTGCTGCTGCTGCTGCTGCTGTTGCTGCTGCTGCTGCTGCTGCTGCTGCTGCTGCTGCAAGGATAGCGTCCCATAGTAGAAGTGTGGATGGCGACAGAGGTCCGCCCCAGAGAGCCACTGCGTCAGCCCTTCTATACACCGCTGCAGCAGCAGCTCTTCTGTCTCCTTGAGAGATTCTGTAGATTGTGCTTCTGCTGCTGCTGCTGCTGCTGCTGTTGCTGCTGCTGCTGCTGCTGCTGCGGGAGAGACCCCGGTGGCGCTTTGTTGCGGGTCAGCAGCAGCTGCTGCAGCTTCTTCTGAGGCGTTATTCTCCTTCTGCTCTTCTGCTGCTACTCCTGCTGCTGCAGCTGCTGCAGCAGCTGCAGCAGCAGCTTCTGCTGCAGCTGCAGCTGCTAGTGCTGCGGTGTATGTACGGGGAGGAATCATGAAGCAAGGGGAGCCAACAGCTTTCTGCATCAGAGAGAGAAGCAGCGGCTTGCGCTGCAGCAGCCAGCGGGAGAGCTCTGTACCGACAGCAGAGACTGATGGTGCTATGAGTTGCTGTTTTGTTTCTGCTGCTGCTGCTGCTGCTGCTGCTGCTGCTTCTGCTGCTGCTCCTGCTGCTGCTTCTGTTGCTGCTTCTGCTGCTGCTCCTGCTGCTGCTTCTGCTGCTGCTCCTGCTGCTGCTGCTGCTTCTGCTGCTGTTGGGTGCAGCGGCAGCAGCAAATGAAAATCTATTGCGAGGGCACTAAACAAAACCAACTGGGTTATGTTTCTCAGATCCCCCTCAACCGAAACTAATAAATTTATTTCTTTTTTCTTTTTTTCTTCTTTTTCTTTTTCTTTTTCTTTTTCTCTGTTTATATTCATAGAACAAGAAGACCCACTCTCAGCACCACCCCACCAGGGAACACCATGGGGGCCCTCCTCTGAATATGTGCTGCTGCCATCGCTCTTCAAGCGGTAGCAGCCACCACCACCACCACCACTGCTGCTGCTGCTGCTGCTGCTGCTGCTGCTGGCTGAGTGGGTGTGAAGGGGAGCAGACCAGACAGGCCAGGGGGGCTGCAGGATATGGAGGAGGATAGCGCCGAGGGCCCATACATCATGCTTCGTACACAGCGGTGAGTGTTGCAGCACCTGGGGCCCCGCCAGTACCTGCTCTGGTGCTAGAAAGCAGAAAGGAGAAA